GGTCATTTCCTCTGGCTTCCAGTTGGCTCAGGTTCAGGTGAGCATTGCAAAATCTTTTCACTGGGAAGGGAGGCTGTGCCCAGCCACACCCCAGCCACCGCAGCGCCCCCTGGTGGCAGTAGGGTGACTTCATATGTTGCACTATCAATTTCTGCCCAGGCAGGAAAGTTGGACACCGTCCATTTCTAGAAGTGCATTGTACATTATTTACTCTTCACAACAAGTCTGTGATAAATGGTATTGTGTGTGTGTGTGCGTGCATGCGTACGTGTGTGTACAGGTATTAGGGCCGAACTCAAGGCCTGGACACTGTCCCTGAGTTTTTTTGCTCAACACTTTGCTCTAACACATCAGCCACAGCTCTGTGCTCAACTTATTGGTGGTTCATTGTAGATAAGAGTCTGCCTGGGCTGGCTGCAAAGCAGGATCCTCAGATCGCAGCCTCCTGACTGGCTAGGATTAAAGACATGAGCCACCAGCATCTGGCCAATAAATATTTTTTTAATAAAATTTTTTTGAAAAATTAAAAATTTTAAAAATGAATGTTTTGGGGGGTTGGTTGGGGGACTTGAATTCAGGGCTCAGGCTCTGTCCCTGAGCTTTTTCACTCAACGCTAATGCTCTACTACTTAGAGCCACAGCTCCACTCCCAAATTTTTTTTTTTAAATAAAGCTGACTAAAACGGTATGCACTCACCAAGATATAGGAAAAGTGAGCAAGTAGCAGAGGGGAGGGACTCAGTATCAGCAGATGGAGGATTTGGCTTTCTAAAGATAAACTTGGTGCTAGAACGGGGAAATGGGTGATCTGAGGCTGTGGCGCTCTGGTTAGGGCGCTCGTAGAATTCAGTTTCTGCTGTGGTTGAAACCAGCGTGGGCCTGATCTCCAGGAGCTGCACTTCTCAGGCTGAGTCACTTACCCTGTACCCATCTTCAGCTATCTTTGGTGGTACAGACATAAGTGTTAGGTCTTATAGACCAAGAACTTGGGGCAGGGGGATAGAGCAATATACAATGATTAAACAATCCCAGTCAAAATGAGGCCCAGTTGATCATTCTTTCAATTGTCATTTTGACAGAGATTGTAGAGGAGTTATGGTTATTGTCAGGGTAAGCAAGTCTTTCTTTTTCTTTTCTTTTTTGCCTAGAGGGTAATCTGTGCTGTGGAGTCTGTGGTTCCTTAGGGGTAGTTTCGGTATGTAAAGACGTTTAGGAGAGATTAGTTCTGTCCTTCCCAGAACTCCAGGGTTGCAAAGTGGCTGCAGAGAGAATGACTGAGAGCTCAGAAATGGCCGGTATGTCACACTCTCCTGCTTTTCTTCTGTTTAAAAACCTTTAGATGGGGCTGGGAAGGTGGCTCAGTGGTAGAGTGTTTGCCTCGCATGCATGAAGGCCTGGGTTCAATTCCTCAGCGCCACATAAGCAGAAAAAGCCAGAAGTGGCGCTGTGGCTCAAGTGGTAGAGCACTAGCCTTGAGCTGAAGAGCTGAGGGACAGCGCCCAGGCCCAGAGTTCAGGCCCCACGACCGACAAAACAAACAAACAAAAAACCTTTGAATGGTGCCATTTGAGAAGTGGCTGAGGGAAAATAAGAGGTGCTCGCATGGTGGTGGTTTAACAGTTTGCAGAGTGAGAGTGTTAGATTTTTAGATTTTTGCCAGAAAACCATGCAGACATCCAGGTACAGAGAACAAAGAAAGCTTTATTCTGGGTAAGGGCTGGCAAGACCCCTTCTCACAAGGGAGAAGTGAGAAGAAGCACCAGCTATTGTCTGAGGTGACCTATATAACCTAGGAGGTTTAGGAGGGGCTAGAAGGGGCTAGGAGTGGAGACCCTGGTGTGGACGTGTGGGTCAGGGGCTTCATCATGTCCGACTAAGATTTATGGCTGCTGTCCAAGAAGTAGATAAGGGTCCTGCAACTGCCCAGACCTGAAGGTTCCTCTAAGGGGCTCTTGTTGTCTTATATGGTGGTAGCTGCTCCAGAGAAGTGCCATCCCAAGGTAAAGGGGGCTGGAGGCTGATTGATTATTTACTGCCTTTACTACATGGGCCTAGTGTTGCCTAGGAAGGGAGCATGCTAAGCTGTGGAGAGGGGAAGGAGTGTGCGAAGCTACGGGAAGGGCGCTCATTTCACTAACAGAAAGGTTTTAGGCTAGTTTTGGTGTCTGTAGAAAGCAGGCTTGGTGTGTAGGTGCAGGATATATTTTGGCTCAGGATAAAAAAACCAAAACCAAAAACCTGTCACAGTAAAGTAAGCTTCCTTGGAAAAAAATCACCCATATTCAAGCAGAGTTCAGGCAGGCGCTGGATGTCTGATAATGCATAGCATAGTAGTGATTGCTTGTATGTGTGCGTGCATGTGTGTGTGTGTGTGTGTGTGTGTGTGTGTGTGTGAGCCTCCAGCCCTGGGTCTCATAGTGATTTTCAGTGCTACAAAGGCAGGGCTTGGCTTGGAATTCAGGTTTTTCACTAGCATCACAGTCGGGTACCAGAACAACCATCCTTTGGACTGTGACTTTATGATACAGGTGGCGCTGTGTCTAACACTCACCCCTAGTCACTGTGCCTGGCTGATCCTATTCACACCAGTTGCTTGGGTAAGTGGATCCCTCCCTCTCCGCCCATTTATTAGTGCATTTCCTAAACATGGCCACAAGATGGCAGCACTTTCTCAGTGTTTCTACCTGGCTGTGGGCGAGGCTGTTAGGGAATAGGGCACACCAATGAGAACAGATAGACTTTTTTTTTCCTCTTCTGTAAACTGAAAGACTGCGGTGAGTGTGAAATTCTCATTTTAGAACTCAAAGGCACTTTAGAGAAATTATTTTCAAACTTTAATTTGCTCACGGACCACCTCAGAGATCTTAAATATTGATTCTGATTCTTCTGATGGGCCCTAGGTTCTGCCGTTATTTTCCTTCCACTTATTTGTTTGTTTGTTTGTTATTTGTTTTTCTTTTAGCACTAGGGACTGAACTCAGGGCCTCATGCTTACTAGGCAGATGCTCTACCACTTTGAGCCATACCTCCAGCCTCCCCCCTCTTCCCCCCCCCCCCCGCCCCCCGCCGATGTCCAGGCAGGCCCTGGGCTGTGAGTCTCTTAGGTTTCCTTCCCTGGGTCTCCAAGGATGACAGATGTGCATCACCATGCCCAGCCTTGTACTTCCTCTCTAGCTGGGGTGATAGGCACACACCATGGCCCCTGGTTGGTTGAGATGGATTGTTTGGAACTTTAAGATACATATAATTTTATTGTTATCACTAAGGTATTGCACAGAAGGGATACCATTTCACAATTCCAGTATTGCATCCATTTCTCTTTGGGACATTGTCCCCCCCCCCCTTCTTTGCTTTCCTCCAGTTTCCCCTCCCCCTTCCTTTGCTTTCCTCCTGTTTTCCCCTCCCATCTCTGCCCACAAGTTGCATCGTTCATTTCCTTAGGAACTTTTATGTCCAGGCTGGCCTCAACTTGTGATCCCCCCCCATCTGCCTCCCAAATAGCTAGGATTACAGGCTTGTGCCACCACACTCAGTCTTCTTTTTCCTTCTTTCCTTCTCTCTCCTCTTGTCTTCTCTTCCTTTTCTTCTCCTCCTCCTCTCACTTCCCCCTCCTTTCACCCCTCAAATCTCCCTATCTATTTTTTATTGGCTTATAAAAAATAGATCCCTAACCGGTTTCCTTGTTCTGTTTTCATAGTGGCTAATAATCCTTCTTGACTGTATTAACCCTCTTATCCTCTCCATCAGCACCCCTCCCCCAGCCCCCACCCAGCCACAGCCTATCCATCTCCCTCCCATCCCCCATTAATAACAGCTTTGGTTGAGTTTCTTTCTGCTGCCTTTGTATATACTTGCAGTATTACAAGGTTATTCATTCTCTCCATTCTTTCCTCTCGTGTGTGTGTGTGTGTGTGTGTGTGTGTGTGTGTGTGCATGTATGCACATGCGCACACATGCCAGTCCTAGGGCTTGAGCTCAGGGCCTTGGCACCATCCCTGAGCTGCTTTTGCTCAAGACTAGAGCTTTACCACTTGAGCCACAGCTTCAATTATGGCTTTTTTTTTTTTTTTTGACTCTTACAGACTTTCCTGCCTGCGCTGGAAATCATTAGATCTCAGCCTCCTGAGTAGCTAGGACTACAGGTGTGAGCCACCAGCACCTATCTTCTGATTAATTTTCATCTGATTAACTTTAAGTAGTTCTACAAAGTAGAGTGAGTTCAACCTGCAGTTTATGAGGACCACACGTCTTGATCACCCCTTTCATCGTTCACCTCTGTGTCTCCTAACCCACCCTTCCCCTCCATTTCCCTAGTTCCAGTTTTACATCTATGCCTTTAATATTATAACTGCATTCTCCCACCTGGCCTCTCTTCCTTCTTGTACCTCCCTCCCGCTCAGCCTCCCCCAGCCCTTCCCGATACTTCAAGTACCAGCTTCCTGATGTTGGTTTTGTGAGACGGTAAGTTAGCTGTTCAAAGGAAGTACACCACTGGAATCGTCCCTGCATATACCAGCCCTCAGTTCATACATTCGTATGTGTACGCATATGCCCCTGTAGAGTTGCATGTATCTATTGAGAAATTAGATCAAATTTCCACATGAGAAAAAAAGTGCATTCTTTGTCTCTTTGATCCTGACTTACTTCATTTAACAGACTTTTGTAAGCTTACCTAATTTCCTCTCCTTAAACATTTCTTTCTGAAGAGGCCATCACTGCCTTCCTGTTCCCTGGGTTCGGCCCTCCTCCCTCCTCCGTGGAAATGCCAATGCTGCACACTCTTAAGTGGAACATACTCAGTTCTGGGGCCTGAACTCAGGGCCTTGGTGCTGTCCCTGAGCTTTTGGGGTGCTTTTTGTTTTTCATTTTTTTTCCCCTCAAGGCTAGCCCTCTACCACTTGAGCCATAGCTCCACTTCTGGCTTTTTGATGGTTCATTGGAGAGTAGATCTTCATGGACTTTCCTGCCCAGGCTGGCTTTGAATGGTGATCTTCCAATCTCAGCCTCTTGAGTAGCAAGGATGACAGGCGTGAGCCACTGGTGCTCACTGGTGCTGATGAAAAGGCTTTGAGGTTACCCCACGATAACACCGTTAGGAAGTTGAGTCGAGTATTTCCTTGCTGCAACCGTGCGGTGACAGATGTGCACACAGTCCTATTTCATGAATTTACCACAGCGTTCTCACCATCTAGCTTGAGAAGAGATTAAAGATAAAAGACTGACCAACCAAACAAACCAGATTTTGTTTACAGCGGATCACTTACCTCTGACTTGGGGTTGTGTGGTTTGGTTCATTCAATCCTAGCCAAGTGTGCCCATATGTTTACATCAAGATTTCTAATTCTCATGTCAGGCTCATCATGGTAAGATGGCATGGTGCCTGCTTTCACTGCAGTGAAGATTTCTTTGAGGTCTGGATGGGAAATAGACCGGGAATGTTAGTCATTGACTTCATGTCTTCCAGTCTTCTTCATGATTTCTAGGACTCTATTTGTTTTTCTTATGTTGGTCATGGGGCTCAAACTCAGGGCCACCCTTGTCTCTGAGCTTTTTCACTCAAGCACAGCGCCACTTCTGGTTTTCTGGTGGTTAATTGGAGATAAGAGTTTCATGGGCTTTCTTCAGGAGCTGGTTTCAAATTGTGATCCTCAGATCTCAGCCTCCTGAGTAGTTAAGATTATAGGCATGAGCTACTGGTGCCCAGCTTCTAATTTAAACAAACAAACATATATATATATATATATATATATATATAATTTTATTATTAGTATAAAGGTTTTTTTTATTTTTAGCATAAAGCTATTGTAAAGGTAAAGAGTGTATTTCTCTTTTGGACAATGTCACTCTTTCCTTCGCCTCCCCCCAGTTTACCTCTCCCACTCCTGTCCACAAATTGCATAGTTCATTTTCCACATAATGCATGCTGAATAGCATGACTGCATTTGTTCACCTTTCTCCCCCACTTTCTGCACCCCTCCTTTGCTCTCCTAAAACACAAACAAAAAAACAGAGGCAAAAACAAACATCACCACCAACGATAACAAAAACAGAACTGTAATTTTTGTGTGTGTGTTGGAATTCAGGCTTGGATGATTATGCTGTGGATTGCTAAGATTTTAGTATTTGAGAATGTTGAGTGAGAAGTATATGGAGTTTTTGACTATTGTGGAAACATTTTTGAGAGCCTGAAATTATTTCAAACTAATATAATAATATAAATTAACATGATAATATATGCTGTAATATAATATATGATATGATTTTATAACAATAATTAATATAATAATATTAATACTAATAAATTAAAAAAAAAAGCAAACCAGGCAGTATGGTTCACACTTATAATCCTAACTACACAGGAGGATTTCTCTTCCATCTTCCTGGGCAAATAGATTCAAGATGCTCTGAACTAGCAGAAAGCTGGACATAGAGGCATGGCTCAAGTGGTAGCTTTCCAGCCATAAGTGAGAGTGAGAGTACTAGGCCCCAAGTTCATGCCCTAGTACTGGCACCATTTAAAAAAAAAAAGCAAGCAAGCTTCTAGACAATCCTAATGGGATGCTAAATTAAGAAGCACTTATGTTTTCTTGCCTACTAGACTAATCTTTCTGAAAATGTACTCAGAGCTTTCCATGTACTTTTTTTTTTTTTTTTTTTTAAATCATGGGGCCTGGGGCCTGTCTCTGAGCTCTTTTGCTCAAGGCCAGCGCTCTACCATTTTGAGCCATAGCTCTACTTGTGGTTTTCTGGTGGCTCATTGGAGACAAGAGTCTCACAGACCTGCCCAGGCTGTCTTTGAACCATGATCCTCAGATCTCAGCCTCCTGAGTAGCTAGGATGAGAGGCATACGCTACCGGCAACCGGCCCAGTTTCCTTTCTAAAAAAGGTTTTTGTTTTTGTCAGTCCTGGGTCTTGAACTCAGGGCCTTGAACTCAGGGCCTTGACACTGTCCCTGAGCTTCTTTTGTTCAAGTCTAGAGCTTTATTACTTAAGCCACAGGTGGTTAATTGGAGATATGAGTCTCATAGCAGTCTACCCGGGTTAGCTTTGAACCGGGATCCTCAGATATCAGGTCCTGAGTAGCTAGGGTTATAGGTATGAGCCACTGGCGCCCTGCTTCCTCCCTCTTTCTCAGGGACAAGTTAATAGGCTTCTCGGAAAACCAAGATTAAGATTATAGTATGTACCTCCAAGGCGGGGTGGTGTGCTTCACACATGAAGGTCATAGTAGATTCCTCCTCGTTGGTTTGTAACTCAGTGATCCCCAAATGTATTGTGGGTGGCACACAGAGGCTTATCAAAGCTGTCTTTCTTGTAAGCCTTACATTTTTGGGGGGTGGCCGACTCTCTTGTACTAAATGGAATGTTTAAGATTTTAAAGAATCCAGTTGAGATTCTTTTCCCCCTTTGTAACCCACAATTCAGAAAAACAAGTGACCTCACACGAAGGAATGCAACCCAACAGAGGGGTTACAGTCCCCAGAAGGGAGAAGCAGTGGGTTTCTCAGTGGGAGAGGCCTGTGACAACTTCCCACGCCCCACCCACTCGAGCTCTCCATCTGGGCACCAAAAAGGAAGTGCAGATCTTGAAACCACCCATCCCGCAGCGCAGCCCTCACTAATCCATTCCCTGCCCAGGGATGTAGTGTGTGTGCACATAGGTGAGTCACGCTGAGCCCTCCTCCAGCCTCCCCTTTCCCGCTTCCTCTGCCCTCCAGCTCAGCATCAGGTTGGTCCCAGCTCCTAGGCCTCTACTCCTGGTATGGGAAAGTGAGGCCAGGAGAGGCAGTTAGCCAAGAAGGAAGTCAGATGCCAATGGGCACAGAAAGAGACAGGTGGAGCCGCCACTGTTCAAAGGCCACAAGCCCTGGGCATGTTTTATTGCTGTTTCTGGATGTGCCATCTCCTCCCTTTTGTGACTGTTCCAAGGACTCTCCCACTTTCGACTTCCTTATTGGACTTTCTTTCCTTGGTGCTCCTTTCTTTCGCTCGAGGATGTCTGTGCAAATAGTTGACAAGAGTCAAAAATGACTCTTTTATGAGGACTGGGAACCCAGCCCTGCCTTTTCCCGAAAGGGGTTGAGGTTTGTATAACCAAGGTTTTTATGAAGGGCTGAGGCATTGTAGAGGTGGTGTCAGGGGACAGGTGCATTCGTGAAGGCCGAGACACAAAACAAAATACTGACTGCCAAATCGAAAAGTAGAGGGGCTGAGAATCTCTCTGGAAGGTGGATTTTATTCAGGAGATCTCAGAAGTCTTATGACATCCGCTACCCAGATTGAGTGAAGGGGTGAGGTTAAATTATGGACTTGTATCATGTCAGAAACATTGCTTAATTTCTCTGCCTCAGTTCCCCCCCCACCCCCCTTGGTACCAGTCCTGGGGCTTGAACTCAGGGTCCTAATGCTGTCCCTGAGCTTTTGTGCTCAAGGCTAGTGCTCTACCACTTCTGGCGTGTGTGTGTGTGTGTGTGTGTGTGTGTGTGTGTGTTTCATTGAAGGTAGGAGTCTCATAGACCTTTCTGCCCAAGCTGGCTTTGTTCATGGATCCTCAGATCTCAGCCTCCTGAGTAGCTAAGATTACAGGCATGAGCCATCAGCGCCTGGTTGCCCCAGATTTTTTAATTTGTAAAAATGAGGAAGATAACACTGACAGATTTGTGTGTGTGTGTGTGTGTGTGTGTGTGTGTGTGTACTGTAGCTGCATATAAAATTCCTATGATAGTAATTAGCACAAAGTGAGTGCTGAATAAATGTGAACTCTTGTCATCATGGCAAAGGCACTGCCCAGTCATCTAAGATGGCAAAGTCTTTGGCAGCTGACATTCTGGCAGGATGGAAAGTTTGGGGAGCCCTAGCTCACCCATTGCATTCTGGATAACTCCTTACTCAACTGCAGGGCTGCTGTCCTCGTAATTATCTCCTAGAGGTCCAGGAATGTGTTCTAGAATGCGATGGTTTTGCCAAAGGCGAAGCCTAGAAACAGGCTTGAGGGAAATGTTTTCACAAATAACATTTACTTTGCTAAGTGGAATTCCTTAAGCCTAGTACCAGTGGCTCACACCTGTAATCCTAGCTACTCAGGAGGCTGAGATCTGAGTATCTCAGAAGGCACAAGTGAGGCACATCCCATAATCTCAGAGATCAGGAGGATCATGGGCAGGAAAAATCTGTGAGACTCTTTTTTTTTTGGTCAGTCGTGGGGCTTGAACTCTGGGCCTGGGCGCTGTCCCTCAGCTCTTCAGCTCAAGGCGAGCACTCTACCACTTGAGCTACAGTGCCACTTCCGGTTTTCCGGTGGTTTTATTGGAGGTAGGAGTCTCACGGTCTCTCCTGCCCAGGCTGGCTTTGAACCGTGATCCTCAGATCTCAGCCTCCTGAGTAGCTAGGATTACAGGCATGAGCCACCAGCACCCGGCTTCTGTGAGACTCTTATCACCCATTACTCACTAGAAAATCAGAAGGAGTTCTGTGGCCCAAAGTGGTAGAGTGTTAGCCTTGAGCAACAGAGCTTAGAGACAACATCCAGGCCTTGAGTTCAAGTCTCATGAACAACAACAAAAAAGAGAATTCCTTATTGTGGCCCAAGTGATCCATATTGCCTCATGTACTATCTTTATAATAAAGACAAAGATGAAATGAAAAAAAAATCCATCAAGGAAATGTGTCAGAATAGAATTGGAGCTGGTATGTATAAGAGGAAGCATGTATAAGTTTTATTTGGACATAAAAAGCAGTTCGTTTTAAAACCATATAAATACAGTGCGTGCCTTGAGTAGAGAGCAGACCCTTCCATCACAAGAATATTCCAGCAGAATCGCAAGCGACTGGGCAGCATGGCTTTCTTTTCTAAATGGCAGCTTAGATTGAGTAAGTAGCGGGAAATAAGGAAGAAAATGGATAAGGAAGCAAGAAAACTGGTGGTGAGAGGGCAGGCCTGAAAGGATTTTCACTCCCAGGTGAACTATATTCAGTGCCTTTCATTATCTCAATTTGCTTTTTTTTTTTTGTCTTGGGGCTTGAACTCTGGGCCTGGGCACTGTCCCAGAGCTCTTCAGCTCAAGGCCAGCACTCTACCACTTTGAGCCATAGCTCTACTTGTGCTTTTCTGGTGGTTCCTTGGTGATAACAGTCTCACGTACTTTGCTGCTAGGGCTGGATTTGAACCATGATCTTCAGATCTCAGCCTCCTGAGTAGCTAGGATACCAGGCATGAAGCACCTGGCACATGTGTTTTGTGTGTGTGTGTGTGTCTTGGGGCTTCAACCCAGGGCCTGGGAACTGTCCCTGAGCTTTGTTTGCTCAAAGCTACAGCTCTACCACTTGAACCACATCTCCACTTCCTGTTGGTTCATAACTTATTAGAAATAAGAGTCTTGTAGACTTTCCTGCCCAGGCTGGCTTTGAACCAT